CTCTGAGATAGAACAACCTCCTCCTGCTCACCCTCGTATTCACTATCGCTCAGATGACCAGGGCTGGAAAATTCAAAATTCATTGAACAATGAGACAAATAGCCTATGAAATGCTTACTTCAACAAATAATCCGCAATATCCTTATATTTTCGAGAGATCTGGCAAATCCTTAGTGGTTGACTTGCCGGCCTGTACCAATTTTCGCACAGATTTGTTCAGACCTGAGGCGACTGTTCGGATAGCACTGAAGAAATGATAAAAAAAACTCGAAAACTACTAAATTCAGCAGCATTCGGATGAAAGCTAAGCCTGAAACGTTCCTGCAATACTGGAGCAAGGTTAAAAGTGTAACTCACTAATGGCGAATGTCAATGGTATCATCTTCCTCGGAGTAATTCACCATCAAACAACGTTTCACAGTTTTTAATTCGAGCTGGAATCGTGCGCAATAACAAACTCGATGAAAATTTATTAGATAGTAATAGTTATCAGTGCACCACAACCTTTGATATCTCGCTATGAGTTTGCTGTAAATCCCCTGCACAAAGATTTGAAGGGACTGGATCACCGAAATCTCCGGGACTTGCTTCCTGAATTCGACAGCAATGTCCCGGAGATTTCGGTGATTTTTCCGCGCTTCGAGTACAGCAACGGCAAACCCAAATGTCTACTACCCAGTATAGTTCTACGGGAAAGAGCGACGTCAAATTCAGCAAATTTCGACAGCACTGCTAGAGGACAACCCCTTTTCCTTCCATGAAGCCCTCGCCGCGTTCATACTTTTCTCCCGGTTTTGGGCGAAAAGAAAAGTATAGTTACCAATCTAACGTCCGAGCGAAACGCTCAAGCGTTAAGCTACCTATACTATCCTTCTCGCTCAAAACGCTACATCGCTACCAATACTTTCTCTTCCGCTCGGAACTGTCAAAACGCCAATAAACGGTATGAAGGTAGCCTTGCAGTGTTTCTATTCTACTCGACCGCGACTGCTGCTTCTTCTGTGGAAACGAACCCTCCCCTACAAATTCAAATAATAATATACTTACCGTGTCAATATTGATCGAAGGGAACATGTTTTGTATGAACGTTTCCACTAGAAGAAGATGTTTTTCACCACTCTGAAAATCGTAAATTCAAGCACTAACAGAAGTAGACTTTCGCAGCTTCTATTCGTCGAGCATTCATCAACGAAACGAGAAGAAAAAAAGCAAAGAAAAGACGGCGAAAACATTTACGATTTGCAAAAGATCTCCTCAAAAATCAAGGAATGGTAACGATCTTACCTTATTGAAACCATTCAATATAAGAAGAGGAGGCTTATCGAAAAGCTTCTGATGCACCAGCGGCCGCTTCTGAGTGGATAAAATATGCCGTGACAAGGAGTATTCTGGCACTAAAAGGAGAGCTTTTACTTCATGAAGGCTTCTGTGAGCAAACGAGACTATTGGGAATTAATAAGGCCCTAGACTCCAACTCCTCTCATCTTGAAACTGTTTGTAACTGTGTTGATCTTTTACTTCTGCCTCGAGGTGTTTAGGTGGAATTCTTTATCGGCCAACGTTTCGACCATTTCGTCGTTGTCAAGGCCCAAACATGGCTCAAAGCTTAGAGTGCACACTACCCCCTCCACTTGAGACATTCCCCCTCTAGCATTTCTGGACGTCATCACAGGATCGCCAAGATACCCAAGAATTAAAAGATAAGCTCACCTCGTGTTCCACCACTACAATATAGCGTAAAGCTACAGCTCACATTAGTAGGTGAGTAGGTTAGTATGCGAATGAGTGCTACCGTCGTGTAGTATCAATGACGTGCACCTTCGCTTATCATGCATGCAAAAAATGAAGTCCCGCGGAAATGCTCATGAACGGTAGGAGATCATGTAAGGGTTAGGGACACACTCTTGTTTCGGCTTGTTCAGCTGTTGGATTCGCGGGCTGAATCAACAATCATGTCCACGCCGTTAGGGAAACATAGAATGGAACAGCGGTGGCGAAAATTTTGACGTCAAGTGCACGATTTTGGCAGATGACGGAGATTTCAGAGAGGAAAGCGCTGGAGCGTTTTGGATTTCAACCCGGAATCCAACAATGAACAACCGAAACGAGTGTGTTTCCCTAACGAATGATCTACTACCGTTCATGGAACATTGCGAATTGCATACATGATAAGCGAACACGTGCGTCCTGATAAAGGAGAGTAACACTCATTCGCTTATTATTTTACTAACTTACTAACTACTAACCGAGCGTAGCTTCGCTACACTCTTGTGGTGGAACACAGTGAGCTTATTTTTCCAACTTTTTAAGTATTTTGGCACAAGCTTGAGATGACGAGGGGAAGGTCTTTGGTGGGGTAGTGTGCAACTCTAAAGCTTTGAGCCATGTTTAGGCCTTGATAACGACGAAAGGGTCGAAACGTTGCCGAGAATAAAGAATGCCACCTAAAAACCTCGAGGCAGAAGAAAAAGATCAAAACAGCCCTAATAAGTATTATTGTTCGAAGACCCAATCCATCACCACGACGGGTTCTCCTAGTAAGTAGAGAGCGGCGGCTCCCCGGTTGGATGACGTATGAAGACGAGGTTATTATTGAAATACTATGCTGTTAATGAAGTTCCGGCGAAGTTTTGCTTTTCGCTAGTTCTATCGATCATTGTCGATGTTTCCTGAGGAGGTCAGTAAATTTCTGTGAAGCTATGCAACAACAGGAACTCCGTGGTCTACTGGTCTCATCATTGTGTAGCGTGTAATTTAACAGGAATAAGCAAAAGGGACTAGCGAAAGTGCAAAATGCCTCGCCCAAGCCGAACAGCGCTAACGTTCCACCTCGGAGCCTCGTTGGAACATGAAGACCATCAAATTTAAAACAACGCCGCAGTCTCATGAAAAGGTTGGAGACTTGGAAACCACTGAGGTTTCCAGGTTTCGCGCAAGAAGTCTGAACTCTAACGA